TTTAAGGGGATTTTGAACTGATTCACGTGGGACCTTCCTTTTGATGACGGAGTATTTTTAGAGCAAATTAATTTACAAAACTGCGGGAGAATCATTCAGTAATTATCCTTGTGTTCAGCGAGGTGTACGAGAGGAACTGCAAATTGGAATGAAACCCTTTGTAACTACTGCCTAAAATGATCCCGAAATATAATCAGTATCCAGGACCTAGTAATAAATAAAGGTAATACAGTAGTGAGACATGCTATGATGTATGGTCTCTGTCCAATAGACAACACTCTGAGCTGGAGGTGGAGGAGATGAAGATGCTGAGATCTTCACTGGGAGTGACCAGGATGGACAGGATCAGAGGGACAGTTAAGGTGGAGCAGTTTGGAGATGAAGTTAGAGAGGAGAGGTGGAGATGGTTTGGACATGAGCTGAGGAGACATGGTGGAGATGATGGAGATGAAAGGATGTTGGAGATGGAGTTGACAGGAAAGAGGAGAAGAAGAACACCTCGGAGGAGATGTGTGGGTGTTGTGAAAGAGGACATGAAGATTGGAATAAAATTGGACGAGGCAGGAGAGAGGGTGAGATGGAGGCAGATGATCTGCTGTAGCGCCCCCCTGAGGGGAACAAATATCTATTAGATTTGGGGACAAGATGGCATCAAATCCACAACCTTGTGGTGACAGGCGGGGTTTTACCACTGCATCACTCTACACCCCATTAGGATGAGTTAGATGAGGAAAAAATATATTCATACAACATTAGACAATTGGGTTGAGTGTTTTTCCACGAACAATAAATGGACAACTTAAATAAACCCAAAGGCTCCACGTTCCCTTTCAAAACAAAAACCCGAGCATCGCTGATGATTTGTCAATCTTTGTCGCTCACGCTGACACGTTGTAATTATTCTAAGACTTTCTTTCTGCTCTGTTTGAGGCCAGTTCCATCTAAAAAGACTGAAAGCAGCTGTTGCCTGGGAGGCAGCACTGAAACGGACATTGTCACTTGTTGTCACGTGGACATAAAGCAGCAGCCACAGCCACAGCCTGGAGGAATACTGTCAGGAGAAATATTTAAATTCAATATTTGTTTTGTATTTCATTCCAGATTTTCAAATTAAAACATAAAATTCAAAGAGATTTCCTTTAATATTACACTATTAAACTGGACCAAAGGAAAGACCTACAGTCAACGACCCAGTATGGCTGTGGACAGTTAGGAGGTCAAGACAGGAAATGGAAAAGGAAAGACGAGTGATGGAGACAGAAGACAGGAAGTGTACCCACACATGGAAACAACACATGAAAGATTCTGTTTGATCTAATTCTATTTTTCTACATACCCTCATTTCCCAGACTATATATAGATACTCTTCAACTCAGATGTTTCCAAACCTTCAATCCTCTAAATAAATTTGACTGTCTACATATCTATTTTGTCTTTAAGCATAGATTTAAAACAAACAAACACTGAAGCATAATTTAGCTTACGATTTAACTTAAGGTTTAAACGTCAATCAACAAAAAAAAAAAAAAGAAAATCCAGCACTTAAACGCTGCAGGCTCTGGTCCCAGCATTTTTGTTGTTTAATAATAAAAAATGAGAGAGAAAAATTGAAATTCAATCTGAGCAGCCAGATTGTCCAGACTGCATGTGAAGAAATCAAAAATGTTTTTTTTTTTTTCCAAAATGTGTTATGAGTCAGAAGTGGGAGGAAAAGCTGATTTCTTGTCTTTTGGACGTTCACGCTGATGAATTAAATCCAGATCAAATCTGTGCAGGATGTAATTTTCTTATTATGTTTGGGAAATGTGTGGCATAAATAAACGCAAAACAGTTTGTAGCCGTCTGTCTCTCTCCTCATACGAGAGGACAATGGAGAAGAGCCGTTCACGTTACCTACACGTACCTCTGGGATTCTCTCAGATCTCTGGACTCTGAGAAAATCCCAGGATATCCAGGACAAATCATCTTGGCCAATCCCTCAAGCTCCTTGTGATTTGACAGCTTTTTTTTTTTTTTTTTTTTTAAATCCTGCTCTGTTATCTCGGACTGTTTAGAATTACATTTTAAATCAGAAAATATAAATGTTTAACACACGTTGGTGAAGGTTTTAGTTTCAACAAAGTGTCTCGATCTTAAAATACCATCTCAACAACTAGCATACATGCTAGGTCATGCTAGGTCAGACACCCAGCTTTCGTCAGACCAAGAGTGCCTCAGACACCCAGCTTTCGTCAGACCAAGTTGGCTGACAGGAGAAAATGAATTGTGAGGGAGTGTAGACAGGGTTTGACCCTAACCCCTAAACCAGGTGTGAAACAGATCCGTATATCTGCCCACTGGTATTTATCCCTCCTTTCCAGCAAAATTTGCCATATTTAGAAAGGGCGAGTCATCTCAAATAATCACAGTTAATCATGATGAAGCCACAGCTAGCCTGTGATTGGTTGAATTGTGAGACAGTCCCAAATCAAAAAGAGAGTGATGCATTATTATATTTGGTCTACAGGGGGCGTTCTGTTCAGGGAATTTACTTATTTTCCTCATGTAATTCTTTGTTTCCTTTCATGTTTTTCAAAACTTGGAGCACTTTAAGGCCCGCAGGCCACAAATTGGACTGGGAACCTCAAAAACACAGCCACAGAATTATGATGTTGTCTCTTTGGTTTTTGGTTAGTTTTTTTGTTTTTACCCCGGAGAGAGTGTTTTATGGCTATTGAGTTAAGCTTTTTTTTCCACAAAATAAACAACATTTAAAACCTTTCTAATTTTCTAAAATTAGGTTCTAATTTTGTAAGACCTGTTTCTCCCGTTTCAGCCCTCTTAAAAAACCAGGAGGAGGTTGAGTTTTCTTTCCTCATCTTCATCTTACTGAGGCAGAGGCTGGTTTGAAATCTGACTGGGAAACAACATGAAGCCATGGACAATGCCAGGGTGAAATTCAATTAGAAGAAAGAATAGAAAGCTCAGCCTAAACACAGCCTGTCTCGTACCAGTGGTTACAACACGAACCGTAATTGTGAGTCAAAACACCGTGGCTGCTCGGACTTCCCTGTGGGCGGGGCCAGCTTTCTTCTTGCCAAATTGTATCACAGGACACTGGGCTATTATTAACCCTGTTTGTCTGTGCATCTCTGATTAGGGGGAGTTAAAATGGAGATTAGAGGGTCAGCTGAGACACCCACGGCTATTAGGGTGTTATTGATTAGACGTTGCTCCTCTCTGCACAGGGACGGCCCAGATCGTCACGAGGACTTTCATCTGAGTGGGCCAGCTGCCGGCAGTACACAATTGTTGCCATAGGGATCGGTGTCCAGGGAGACAGCTGCAGCCTTTTAGCAGCAGTCACACAGCAAACAGAAGGTCATTCTTTACCTAAGGTACCTTCCTGTGACTGTCTGTCACTGATTGTTTCTAGGCAACTGTTGCAAAGGCCGTTTCCCCAGATAACTCCACCTTCTCAGGATGGCGACGAGGCAGTTACAAATTAAAACAACACTTTAATACTGAGCAGGTTTCGGCCAAGTTCTCACACTTATTATTCCATCACTGGAGCCTACTTGGCTCCAAATATTGCTTCAGTCGCAGCTACAGAAAACCTGTAGACCAGGCGGGGGCAAACTGTTTGACTCGCGGGCCACAATTAACTAAAATTGAACGGGGGGGCCGGGTCAGGAGCAGATAGATGGAGCGTTTGTGTGAACTAAGATAAATCACGCATAAAGGCTAAAATGCTAAAATTTTTTTTTTCATTCATTCATTCATAATTGTGTGAACTAAGATAAATCTGGGAAAATGTGGGTATTGCAGGGAAAGTCAGAAATATAATGATAATATAAATAAATTATATAATTTGGAAAAGTTTGGCAGGCCAGATTAAAAAGCTAAACGGGCCACATCCGGCCCCCGGGCCTTAGTTTGTGCATGCCTGCTTAGACCAACTCAACGGCAGTCTAAAGTTCTCTGAACATCGGTCCCAAATCCAAATAATGGCTGAGGAGAAACAGACAGTGAAGCCACCATATCAGCCACCACATATGTAAACACAAAGTGTGTACTGTAGATAATAGTTGACTTAAGAGATAGTCTCCTAGTCCTGAAATCATTAATCTAAGACGGCCGTAAACCAAAGAACCCTAATCAGCCATCTGCCGTCAGCAGCACGTCTGGCTCAGAACAGAGCAATGAAGCTGTTTTAATCCATGCATAAACAGTTTGTTTGAGTAAATATGCACTGATCCATAGGTAACTGCATTTCTGCATGAATGACCGTGAGGCTGAGTATGTGGACATACACATAATTATATAACCCCATATTATGTTGCTGACTACGGCATAGAGGTTATCCTAGCATACAGAGCCATGTTGTTGAAACCTTCCCTCAGTTCAATTACAGTAGGAAGAAGGTAAATAATGATTGAATACAGCACAACAGTTCTTATAATCTGGTTGGAAATATTTGTTGGCTGCTCAGATCAGTGTTTCCCAACAGTCTTTGAGCCACGCATATGTTTTACATTTGAGAGAAATCACAAAGCACCACCACACAAAAATGTCACCAAAATTATACGTGAAATGAAATGCAGTGATTTTTCAATTTCAATTTCAATTTACTCTCAGTTTACCAATTCAGTGAGAAACCTGGTCCTGTTCAGTTGAACACAGCACACACAAGATATACTCGTAGGAATTAAAGAAAAACACACAGAGCTTTAACAGCTCTCCCTATTTTTAAGTTATCTGCTGCCACTTGGTGGTAGAGTATTTGATTGCTGTGCTTGTCACTGTCACATTGACGAACAAAGACAAATTATTTGGAATAAAAAATTAGTGGGTTTTAGACCAATGAGGTGAAACTAGATTTTTTTTCACCCATTTGTGGCACAGTGGTTGGACAAAAAGGAGATGTTGAAGGATTGTTGAAGACAGTATTAAGTGTGTCACTCTTCTTCTTATCTTTTCCTTTCTTTTACGGTGTGGTACAAAGTGAGGTGGAGCCTTACCAGTCTCCTATTTTGCTGTTTTTCTTGTCGAAGCGTGGCCAATTCAAGCTTCAAAGAACGGTTCCTCTCCTCCAGCAGTCGAAAACGGTTCACAATGTACATGGAGTGGACTGTGGGCTGCTGAAGTGAGGCCTCATACCTAGACTGGAAGACAGAAATTCAAGTTAACAGAATGACCACTGAACTGACATTTAAAAAGAACAACAAAGTTGTATCATTGCCAACGAGCGGAGGACCACTGGTGTGGCGGTCAGTCCAGTGAAGGGTCAATAGTGTCAGTGTTCAATGTCTGATACAAAAATCCCAGTATTTTAAATATATATATTTTTGGTTAGTATTATACAGTTTGATATAATACTGTGTAATACTAGAGTATAAATTGCTGGTGCAACTAAATCAACTATATCACTTAAGTAATAGGAAAAAATTGAAAATACATTTAAAAAATGATTCAATTAAATTATTACTGTCTAGTCACGGCCCAGATCTGGAGGATTTGTGAACTGGGACTTGGCCCCAGGCCGAATGTTTGACACCACTAGTCTACACTGATGAAGTTTAAACAGCTATTCTATTGAATATGCTATACTAACTGTGTATGTTATGTATTTTTAAAAATCAACTCTGCTGACGCTACACGAACGATGTTGAAAAAGTTGAACTTTTCATACGATATCGAGCCACAACATCCAGTCGATGAGTTTATCCCGATGTCACCTCAAGCCTATCATTGCCGTGTGTGGGCATCGATGCTGCTGCTTTGTTTTAATTCAGGAACGGAATATAAAGAAGAGGCATGGGCTAAGGTTAGCCAGGAGGTGGTGCTCTTTGGTAAATTGTGAGACTGTGGTTTGTTTTATGATGTTACTGACTGTGTTTGTGTTCATCAGTGACAAGTGTGAATGAAGCTGTGATCCAAAGATGATCAAGCAGTAAAGGCGTTTCAAGCTTTGTTTTTCCCCATGACTGTCACAATTGGTGTGAAGGCTCCATAAGGACTATAATAACCACTCAAAGCACTGTAGATTTGGTCATCACCATTTGTTAGAGGTGATATAGTACATACATTGGTAGAGATACATATGGTCACATTAAAATCAAACTTTAACTTGTGCTTAGTTCCACCCTGCAGCAGTGGAACTACAGACATCCAACAGCCGTCCTACTGTCAGAACAGAAGCCTCTGACACATTTTCACTTCTTTGAAACCTCCTGCATACCTGCAAACACACATTGTGCTTACTTTTTATATTTAGGTCATTTTCTAGAATATATTGGTGGTGCATTGGTAGAGGATGGATTTAGAAACAGCCTAGAACTGATTTGGTAGAACTGGATCCTGGTATTATGGCATTTAATGAAGCAGCTTCCTCCATTTTAGGCCAAAAGGAACTTTATATTTGAAACATTATCCTATATTTAATCTATTATCATAGTGTTCTGTGTAGTATAAAAATGTGAAGAAACAATTTAAAATACCAAACAATGTTTTGCTCATAATAAATAACATTTAACCAGAGCAGCAGCTCCACATTATCATAGAGTGAATAAAATAATGTGTTGTTACTCTGACGCTTGTTTACCTTCTTTCTTCATTTAGTGAAACATTAAGAATAATTTTTAAAAAACAATGTGTTTCAACCTTTTAGGCAGAGTTTTTACTCCAACAACATTGCAGATAAACAGGCAGCTTCCACATACATTTTTAATATTCCAACACATTCTCTCCCTGTCAGACCCATAACACACACAATTCTCGCAAACAACCTCCCCAATGTGAGCTGGGCTGCCTTCCTCCACGGGGAAAAAAAAAACAAAAAACAAAAAAACAAATTTGCAGACAAGATATCAGTTTACACTGACAGCAAAAAAACTAGCAAGGCCAGAAAGATGAACCTGCCGGGCAGACAGAAACACAGCCAAAAATCCCAGCAGGTGCTAGTGCAGCAGAACTGCCAAGCAGACGAAGATTCCCACAGACCAGTCACTCAGACAGTGCCCTTTGTTAGAAACACGGGCTGATAACAGTTATTTAGGATACAGTCACAGTTAATAATTCACCGTGTTAACACAAAACTGTGAGAAGCAGAAAGAAAACACGTAACGTTGGCTTTTTCAGCATCATGTCCAGTGGGTTTGAATGATTTATTACCGGCCAGTTGACCTGCAGCAAGTGGTGAGCTGTCCAGGGTACTGATTTTATTTACACTAGTTTACTCTTTTTCACAATGTTTTAAGCACAGTTAACAAGCTGGAACATTGACACATTCTGATCAGACTTTTCCAGACGAGGATACTGGAAACGAAGGTGGAAACAAAAAAAAAGAGCAATGCGAGTGACGTTAGCTTTGCAGTTAGCCTGGACCAGGCATGTCCAAAGTCCAGTCAGGGGTAATGTTGTGGCCTACAAACACATGATACTCACTATTTGCAGCTTGACAGAATTTCTTTCCTTTTTTCTATATCTTATATGAAAAATAATGTATGGGTTAGGGTTAAAGGCCATTTTGATATACAGTAAACCATGAAACTATCCATTTGCATTTAACTTTAATGGTTCAGGAATGTCATGCAGAATGGCTGGCCACTTAAATATGTTCACTTCACATGTGAACATGCATAAGGGGTCTGTTTGGAAAATGTTTGGACACCCCTGATAATTTAAGTTAGAAGAATACAGCAAACAGAGCCTTAAACCAGAGGAAAATAGATAAAATAATAGATAATCTACAATAATAGAGGCCAAGAAGAAATCTTTGATTTTACTCACATACTCACAGACCATAAAATAAGGATTATAATAATATATTTGTACAAAGACATAATCTAAAACCTCAACAAATGTCCATATCCTAATAAAAATAAGGACTTTTGAGCTATATATAGTTATAGATATAGCACAATAGTTCATAATGGGACATGACCATCATAATCTGGTTGAAAATATTTGTTGGCTGCTCAGATTTGTTTTATGTTGTACTCGCTTAGATCAGTGTTTCCCAACAGTCTTTGAGCCACGCACAGGTTTTACATGAGAAAAATCACAAACCACCACCACACACAAAAATCACAAAAATTATATGTGAAATAACATACAGTGATTTTTCATTTTCAATTTACTCTCAGTTTACCAATTCAGTGAGAAACCTGGTCCTGTTCAGTTGAACACAGTGCACACAGGATATACTCGCAGGAATTGAAGAAAGACACACAATGAGCTTTAACAGCTCTACTTTCTATTTTTAGGTTTTGATGGCCATCTGCTGGCACTTAGTGGTAGAGTATCTGATTGTTGTGCTTGTCACTGTCAAGTTGACGAACAAAGACAAATTATTAATTAATAAATAATTAGTGAGTTTCAGACCGATGAAGGGAAATCAGAGAAGGACGTCTGGAGCAAATATATATATATATACATATATATATATATACATATATGTATATATATATATATATATATATATTGTACATATAAAATAGTATCTTTTATGGATCCTGAGTTACAGCTCTATGAGCACCAACCTATAAATGATGTACTACAGACATGATTTCCAGCCAGTTCCCTGAAGATAAAGAGAGTTAAAAAAAACTAACTGTAGGCTGGCCAGTGCAGATGTTGACAGAGTTAGATATTTCAAAAGGGACAGGGCGCATTAATGTTTATTTCAGAGTAGACAATACTTGGACACATCTGGGACAATATCTGAATTCACACCGATGAAGATGGCGGGAGTAAACTGCAGTATTTTTGCGCTGACGTACAAGTGGGGGCTTCGATAACAGTTTATTAAATAAACCAGATAATGACGGCGGCCATTAGGATCTTACAGCATGTAATTACTAATAAAGGGTTTTACTGACTTTCTCCTGCACAGCAGGGCGTCCCTCCATGTGTGCAGTAATTACCAGATTTAAATACTATTTTACTGAAACAATACTGCATTCATATCCATTCCTGATTAAATAATATCTTCCTTTTTCCCCCATTGTGACAGTGTTTTAGTTAGCTGTCTTATGGAGGAGGGACACAGCAGGATGTTGTTATTAAACTGGAACCAAGGGCATTATGGTTAAAGACGTGGGCTGAGCCCACCAGGTCTGCGGGCCACCCAGAGGTACTGTTACTCTGACGGGGTGGGATTCAAATAGATTGTCGTACCGCCATCTGGTGTGTGTGAGTAAATCACTGACGCAAACTCCGGTTGCGTTTAAACTGATTTCAACAAAATAAGATCCATCCCACTGACACTGTCTCTGTCCAGGGTGCTGAACATGCACACACAGACTGCAATTATTTTAGAGTTTAAAGCAACAGGAAGGTAAATGAAGTCACAGAAGCACCGCATCCGTCGTGGTATTGTCTGCAGTAAAAAGAGGATGGATCATGTTTGGTTTTTTTTTAAATGACACAGACTGATGCACGTTTTTTTCCTACCTTCCAGGTTGCACCCCTTTTGTCCCAAAATGACTCTTCCCTTCCCACGTCATATCACAGGCTGGCATTGAAGGCTGAGGCAGTGAGTGCATCCGTGTGTGTGTGTACACGTGCCCGTGTGCCTGTGTGTGCGCCGTCGCAATCAGCAGTTTTGCAGTGGGTTGGTGAGCATCAGTAACAGAGCAGAGGTCTCACTCTAACACCCGCAGCAGATCCACAGCAGTGGCTGCATGTCGCTCTCACACACGCCGCCAACGTCCTTTTCCCTGAACGTGTGACCATTCTTCTTCCATGCTCTCCTCTGTCGCCCCGTTATAGATAGTCTCCCTCCCTCCTTCCTTCCTTCCTTCCTTTTCCCTCACTCTCTCTCCCTCTCTCTCTCCCTCTCCCACTCTCTCTGTCTCACTGGAAAGCAGACATGTGCAGAGTCTGCCTGAAAAAGTCACATGCAGGGGGGAAAAAAATATTCAAAAACGCCTGGCTGACAGCTTTTCTCTGAAAAAGGCTGCATGAGTCAGCTGAGCAATCGCATGCAAACCTTTACATCACAAGCATGAGGAGTTTTTTCTCTTTTTCCCCTGAAACATGTCAAGGATCCAATGAACTCCATCTGACATATTTTCATCTTTTATGTCTGACAGTGAGAAAATAATGATTTTCTACAGTCCAGCTGACGTCAGCAGTCATTAAAACACCCCTTGATTCTTCTGCTCCACGGTAAGACCGGACCAGCTCCACTGGGTTTTAGAGTAACTCTGCATGAATAAGTCTCAGTGACAATTAGAGCTGATTAAGTGTCAGACATTCAGTGTCAGCTTATATGTTCCTGAACACTTTACAGTCTCTTACTGGAGTTAACTTCATTTCAATGAGGTGTAAAAATGTTGATACCCTCTCTGACACGATGAATTTCATCATGTCTATGTGTGACAGGGTATTCACTTACATTGCTTTTATATTGTTGTTTATTGCAGTTTTGTCTTGTTTGCTGTCAGGTCAAGCCTGAGGTGGAGAAGAGGAAGCAGAAGAAGAAACAGGAGTATATATATATATCAGATTCCTACAGATCATTGTTTACAGAAGCTAGTAGTAGTGCAAAAAATGCCGTGTATAAACTGATACTAGCGACAATGCTATCCATCATCTCAGTAATGGGTTGCCGTACCTCAATACACCCCACCTCTGTGGAGGCAATTCGGTCGTGGACACAGAGATCACAGGGATAAACCCTTTGGGGTTCTGTTACTACATCTGACGACCTCGTTCCATCCTTCTTACATCGTACTGTTTGCGCCGAATGGTAAACTGTGACAGGGGCGTAAAATTGTCTGGTTGAGGAGAGGGTGTAAAACGCTCTGATATTAGTCATTTGTTCCTCCTTGACATTTCCATTACTTCTTTCGCTGCAACTTTCCTCTGGCGTGGAATGGAATCAATACTGTCATGTTCCTGAGCAGACTTGATGAACAAGCACCTCTCTGCTCTCTTCACCTCCACTAAATCCCTAAACAGGAGACTTAAATTAAATCGGCGCGGTGGTTTAAAGTGATGTTACATCAGCTGCAGCAGCAGCAGCAGCAGCCGTCACCGTGCACTCTGTTAATGGCCATTCTCTCTCTTTAACACTGGGACAGAGGCGCAGGACAGAGTAGAGGACAGAAAGGAAGAGACACTAAGTGTGCAGAGAGTGAGGAGAGGAAGCAGGATGTACGCGCTGTTCCACTCTGTTGCCTAGCAACACGAGCTCCCTGTCTGTTCCCATCCTTACAGCAGACACATTACTCTCACAGTGAAATGGTTTTCAGGCGTTACATGCAGAAGCCCTGCGAGACCGGGGCAGAGGAACAGATGGGAACAGGATCGGGTGGAAATATGCATTGACCCTTTGAAATATGCAAACAGCTGAAGGCACAGCGTCATTTAAGTGCTTAAATAGCACAGTTAGCTTCGGAGAACGCCGCGGCCAAGCCTGGTCCTCTCTGGTTGGGGGTTTTATGATAGTACAGTTTTTCTTAGTCTCATTCAACTTAAACTAATACTGTTCAGATGAACACTGTCCTGGTTTGACCACATCTGGGACACAGTCAAGAGCTCAGTGCTGCCTCCAATGGAAATATATATATATTTTTCATCTCACAATTTTACTTTGTAGATTTTACATAAAAAAACAAAGTTCATACTAGATTATTTACTATTGTATTGAAAAATGAGTGTATCTTTGTCAGGGTCAGAGGGTGTTGTCATTGAGTTTTCTGAGTACTACTCCAAGTTACTAAAGTAAAGTAAGTCCTAAACTAAATTCAGCTCATGAACAACATTTTTAACCAAAACTTGCCCCAGTTGTCGTATCATAACTCGACTGAGTGTGTGGCGTCAGTCTTGCCTCAGCCCGTGCTCTGGATATACTGTACACACTAAGAACTGTTGTCTGATTTTTACGGTATTTTTTTAACTTTGCTATTTATTTTATTTATTTTTTATTCCATAAATCACCATGAGACCTAAAAAACCTAAAATAAACTTTGCTATTTATTTTATTTATTTTTCATACCATAAATCACCATGAGACTTAAAAAACCTAAAATAAGGAGAACAACCATAGAAGTGATGAAAGATTACACCAAAGCATGAGAATGACATTCATGTCAGATCTGTCTTTACAGTATGGCCGAGCAAAGTCGTCAATTTGTATCATCATGAAGAAGAAGTGAAGGAAAGTGAACTCCTTGTCACTGTGACACAGCTCACCACTGCAACAACCAAATGTGACCTCTGCTTTAACCCATCACCAAAGTGAACAGTGGGCAGCTTTAAGGGGGAGCAGTGTGTGGGGACGGTGCCATGATCAGAGCACCTCAGTGGTAACTTGGCAGCTGGTGGACTCAAACCTGAAACCCTTTGGACCCAAGTCCACTTCCTTAACCACTAAGCAAGCCATCAATGAAAAGCAGTCGGCCACTGACAGTATTTCAGAGACAATAATTAGTGAGAAAGCGAAGCAAACGTTGCTCAGTCAGGACTCCTCAGCTCCAGGAAGGATGAATGAAATTACCTTTCCTATTTATAGCTTTATTCATTATCCAGTTGTGTTTATTTTTTTTGTTAGATATAATTATTGTCATCGGTTTCATGTATAACATTTTACACAAAATACTGTTGAAAAGGTTTGAGTAACCAATCATCCAGGGTCCAGGAATGAATAAATCCATTTTACATTGATTACTATGGGGAAAATTGGTTCAGTTTTCAAACATTTCAGTCCACGACCAGCCTTCATGAATGGATATACAGTAAACATATATATTTGGTGAGCCATTTATAATGTATTTTAAAACGTCTATTGAACCTAACGATGTGGCTCTTTCACTTTGTGAAAAGATTTAATTCACTTGAGTAAAAATACAGTCGGGGTACTTGCACATGACAGTCGTAGTAGCAGTACCATCAGACTGGAGTATTTGTCACCACAGTACCTTGCCCTTGGTGTTGGAGTGATGATGGTGGACGTTCCTGGCAGCGATCAGGGCCAGCTGTCTCTGGATCCACTGCAGCTCCATCTGAGACTGTCGTAGCAGCTCCTCCACATTAGCACCAGACGTGTGATCCCGCATTATCACCTGCAAAAATACACACACACACACTAGTCACTACAAAGACACTGAGGCCGGCCATGCTGCCAACTTCACACTCTCCTTCACACTCTCCTTTACACTCTCCTCACCCACATATTGTGCAATTACTGAACCGCAGGCAAACAAGAAAATCCAAACATACGACTGAATGTATAATTAATTGACTCAGCACTAATTACACTCCAGATTTATGAACGACGTTACTCTTCTTAGTTTTGGTCTAACTGTTACAACTTGTGCTAGTTATTAACCAACTGAATGGGCTGTGATAAAGCACGTGTGCTATGTAGACCATCCATCCATCCATCCATCCATCCATCCATCCATCCATTCATCCATTTTCATCCGCTTATCTGTTACCGGGTCAGAGGGTCAGCAGTCTCCACGACCACCACCCAAACCACATTGCACCATACCAACCCCCCTGAACCTTCCTGTGGGTGGTGAGTCCACTGGAAGGTACCAACTGACCTAACTGGGATTCAATCTTGCCCAGGAGGTGAACCCTGGGGTTCCACACCAACGATAGAGACATTGACTCTGGGCCAAAGCACCGCTATGTAGACTATGCTAATAAAATATGCTAAAGATGAGGTCCTTCTCACTTACTGTTGGATGCCTTCATCTTCTGTCTGTTAAAATAAGTCCATTGTTGGAACTGGGACCGAAAATGACAAATCAAGTCAAATGTGAAAAAACTTTTTATGCGACGCTGATGCATCTGCATATATTCTTGATGCATTTGCAAGGTGTGTGTGTGTGTGTGTGTGTGTGACAGAGGGAGATGTAAACTTGGTTACATAACAGAGGATTATTGTATCACATACCAAACAGTGGCGGGAGGATTTGTGCAAAAATACATCATCTTTTATCACTGGTCCAATCCCTCATCTGGGCTGCACTGCCCCCACATCAACACACACACAGAGAAACACTTGAATACCCACATTCACAGTAAAACCAATGTGGAGCACCCACACTTCAGTGTTTTAAAGGCCAATGCTGCTCACACTCTGACTTTTTATTTGGCATTCTTCTTCCATATCTGTGTTGTAAACAGGTGGCCTCGCAGTGGCTTCAATCTGTGAATACTTCATTTCCTATCAGCTGAATTACTCCTATGCAGGTAAGGTAACAACTATGTATTATTAATCAGCTCCTGGAGCCTCATCCAAATGCTTAAACAGCAACAGAGCGCTGACTCACATTGGACAGCTTCTATTTCCTCACAGGGGACGGTGGAGGAGGAGGAAGAAGAGGAAGAAGAAAAAAGACACAACAACAAAACTCCTGCCGATTCATGCACAATTCCAGGTGCCATTTCTGCCAGGGCCTCTGCAGCCCCACAGTGCTGCCAGAGCTCTGCCTCGCCCTTCCTCTCCGTCGCCGTTTTAACACACACATGCAGAAACAATGGTTAAACATCCAACAGAAAAAAGCCCCCAGATCCCAGCTTTTGTATTTTTTTATATTTAAAAACAAATTAACATAAATCCAGCACATTAATTTAACAACAAAAAGGTTTGTTATAAAACACAGTTTTAAATAATATATGTACAGTGGTGGGACCCTGCTCTATTATTGTAACTTTTGCAATCTTTAACCTTAAAATTGTTGAAGGCCAAAGATGTTGAGTTTATGTCATGGGTTCCCAATCACCAGGTCGGGGACCAAGTACTGGGCGGCAAAAAAAAAGTTTCATTTAGATTTTGTAATAAACATTAGTATGTGAGCTAATGTGAATTATTGTGTGTCATGCTATATACAGAGTGGCCCTGCGATGGACTAGTGAACCATACAGGGGGGTTTACCCCACCTCCTAGCCTGTTGATTACTGGGATTGGCTCCAGTGCCCAGCTTGAGGCTGTGTAAAGGAATAAGCAATAGGTGATGGATGGATGGATGGATGACTGGATAATTGGATGGATGGATGGATGGATGGATGATAGCTGGATGGATGGATGGATGGATGATGGATGATGGATGATGGATGATTGATGATGGATGATGGATGATGGATGATTGATGATGGATGATGGATGATGGATGGATGGATGATGGATGGATGAATGAATGAATGGATGGATAACTGGATGGACAGATGGGTGGATGACTGGATGATGGATGGATGATGGATGGATGAGATGGATGTTGGATGGATGGATGGGTGGATAGATGATGGATGGATAGATAGATGGATGGATGGATGAATGGATGGATGGTTGACTGGATGGATGGTTGGATGGATGGATGGATG